TTTGTTCAGGTCCTCCATCTGCTTTTTAATCAGGTTATATTTTTGGGTGTTGAGGTGTATGAGTTCTTTATGTATTTTGGGTGTTAACCCTTTATTAGATGAGTCATTTACTAATAGTTTCCCATACTGTCAATGCCTTTTTGTTCTCCTGATGGTGTCCTTTGCTGTACAGAAGTTTTTAGTTTGATGTAGTCCCACTTGTTCATTTTTTATTTTGTTTTCCTTGCTTGAGGAAATGTGTACAGGAAAAAATTGTTCATACTTATGTTCAAGAGATTTTTGCATATGTTTTCTTGTAAGAGTTTTATGGTTTCTTGACTTACATTCAGGTCTTTGATCCATTTCTAGTTTACTTTTGTATATGGAGTTAGACAATAATCATCTGTAGTATTTCTGAGTACATTTCCTTGCAAAGCGTTTTTTTAGTGGTTGCTCTAGGTACCATATTACATTTGCACATGGTACCATATTACATTTGCACCGTTTATCACATCCTACTGGTGTTGATATTTTACTAGAGTGGAATGTAGAAACCTTACATACTTCAAGTTCCTTTACCCTTTTCCTATTTATAAGGTAATTGTCTTAAACACAGCTATATATGTTGAAAAACACATCAGTCAATGTATAGTTTTTGCTTCAGTCATCAAACATAATTTAGAAAACTTAAGAAGAAAACTCAAGTCTATTGTATTTACTCATATTTTAGCTTATCACATTCTTTACTCTTCCTTGATATTTCCAGATTTCTTCTTTTTGTTTTTTGTTTCCAAAACTTCCTTTAGCCATTCTTTTAGTGCATTTCTGCTGGTGACAAATTCTGTTAGTTTTTCTTTTGTTTGAGAATGTGTTTATTTCTCATTAATTCCTGAAAGATAATTTATCATATTTAGAATTCAGGGTTGACTCTACTTTTATTTCAGCAATTGAAAAATATTATGCCACTTCCTTCTGGCTCCTAAAGTTTCTGAGAGAAATCCACTGTCATTTGAATTGTTTTCCCTTTAGGTAAGGTGTTTCTTTCTTGCTGCTTTGAAGACAGTTTGTCTTTAGATTTTAGTTTGGTTATGAGGTTTCTTGGCACAGATTTCTTTTATATTTCTTATTTTGGATTTATGTAGCTTCTTGAATCAGTAAACTTATGTGTTTTGCAAATTTGGGAAGTTTTAGGTCATTTTTTTTTTCAAATACATTTTCAACCCTATCTTCTCTCCTGGGACTACAATGATATGAATGAATCTTAGATCTTTTGTTACAGTCCCACAAGCCTTGAAAGCTCTGTTTATTTTATTTTATTCTTTAGTCTGTATTCTCTCTGTTTTCAAATTGGATATTTTCTGTTCTATTGTCAAGTTCACCGAGTTGTTTTCTCCTCTCCATTCTGCAATAAACCACAGCCATTTCCTTTTTAAATTTCATTTATTTTTCACTAAAATTTCCATTTGATTCTCTTTTGTATCTTCTCTTTCCTGTTCTGGAACTGGAAAGCCCAGAAATACAATTTTTTGTACTGCTTCTAAAGAAATGATATTTTATTATCCTAGTTCTGCCCTTTGAAGCTATACAAAATAAGAATATTAAATGAAAAGCAGTATTATCTAACTACTAATAGTCTTAGTAGTTTAGGACTATTTTCTGTATGATCTACATTGATTACTGTATTTAATTTTTATAGTAATACTAATTTTTATGTACAAATATTTACTGGTGCCTACCACATATGGCTGCTCTTCATCAGTCAAACTGACAAAAATTCTTTTTTTGCATGAACTTCAGATGGCTAAACAGCTTTTTTCATTTATTTACAGAGGAAAGACCTATATTTCTGCTTTTTTTGGTAAGCTGCAGGCATAGAGGGAGAAGAGAGATCGAAAGCTGAGTTCTCATACCTTCACATAAACCAGCCAAGAATTTTCATTTACAGTCTTCACATTATATTTAATCCAATTCAGAGTTTTGTCAATGTTTTGTTGTGGGACAATAGATTATCTTGAATGGGTTATACTATTTCTGAGATAAAATAATCTCAGTTTTTTGGGTAGTCATAAAATAATACTCGTCAATTTGTGTCATGAAAAAGATTGGGAAGTACTTCTCAAGTTCAGAAATAAAAGAAGGTGTTTTTTTTGTTTTTTGTTTCCCTACAAGTTAAATTTTGTGTGTATTAGCACAAGTTCATCATCCTACACAAATAAACTTAAAATAATTGCATCCAGGAGTTCTCAATCACATGGTGGTCTTGTTAAAACACAGTTTTCTAGACATCATCTACAGAATTTCTGATTAATTAAGTCTAGGGTTTGTGACCAAGAATTGATGCATTTCTAGCAAGTTCCCAAGTGATTCTGATTATAGTCTTTTGGGGATTTCACTACATACAATTTTTGTACTTCCTCAACTTCTTTGACTTCAGTTACTTCAATCAGATTTTAATTTTCATCATTCTAACAAAGTGCTTTTTCTAATATCCTTCCTGATCTTTGTGTTGCCAAATCAATTGCATACTTTTCAGTTTCGTATCTTACCTGATGTGTAGAAATCATGCTGTAGTTGATTTCTTCTCCTGTTTAGGAAGCTCTTCTATTTGGTTTGGAGATCTCCATCTCTTCCTCCTCCTTTTCATTTCTTCATTCTCCTTCATCAGTCTGTCTCTTTTTCTTGCAAATCAAACCCTAAATGTTAGAATTCAGTCTGAGTCCTTTTCATATCTTACTTTACCCTCTGTTCCTAAATGATCCACCTACTCCTATCTGTATGCTAATAATTCCTGATTTATGTCTCCAGCTCGGGATCACCTTCCCCTATTTTGTTTATCCCCTTACCCTTCTCCCCTCTGGCAGTCATCAGTTTGTTCTCAGTATCTGTGAGTTGTTTATGTTTTGTTTGTTTGCTTGTTTTATTTTTTAGATTCCACTTATAAGTGAAAGCATATGGTATTTACCTCTCTCTGTCAGACTTTGATTCTTAATTACAGCTTAACCAATTGATTTCTTATATACCCACTTGAATGACTTATAGGTATATTGATAAATATATCCCAAATCAATCACTGTAATTAATTCTAAGGTGCATGTTTTTTATCATTTTAATTTCTATGAATCTTACAGTCAATGACATCTAAGATTCTATGAAACTGAGTAATTCCTTTCTACCCCCTTCCTCATAAAAAGTGTTGTTCCTCTATTTTTCTCCATCTCATAAGTGGTTTTCCCTTCCATTCAGTTATTAATTCTGGCAGCCTAGAAGTTATCATTGACTCTTTAGTCTTTCTTAGCTCTCTTATTTCTATCTCCAGAAATCTCTCAATTTTCTTTGCTTATCATGTCTATTGCCATCACCTTTGTTCATGCCATAATTACCTATCCCATGGATTGTAACAAATAGCTTTTAACTCTTGGTGTCTTCCAACTAAATCTCTATTTAGTACTTACATTCATCTTTTAAATATGTAAATCAGTTCATGTCACTATATTGCTTAAAATTCTTCAATGAATGAAATTAGTAACTTGAATATGGCATAAAAAGGCCTCTCTAAGCTGGTTTATGCTGCCTCACCTTATTTAGCTCTATATTTTCCCTCATTCTTTTTGGTTCAGACATGAATATTCCGTCAGTTCTTTTATAGTAAGTACCTTGGTGTTTCTTCCTGCAATGCTCTTTCCAACACATTCCATCTGCCTATCTTCTTACTTATCCTTTAAGTCACATATTTCAGTTCTCATCTTAAACATCACTACTTTAGAGGTGTTGCTGACCCCAAAATCCAAGTTAGATCTTATTATACTCTCTGATAGTATTTTGAGAGTTCTGCCTTTTGTACTTATTATAGTCTTTCATAGTGTACCCTCCTGTATGACCCTGATTATTTATTTTGTTTATTTCGACTCTGTTGTATGTCTCATTGTTTTACTCATACTAGAGCCTAGCACAATGCATAGCAAATGGAAGGTGTTTAATAAATAGTTTTAAATAAATGAAAACACAAATAAAGCTTTGAGAGATGTATGTGCACATAAAGACTAAGAAAGAGATTCTTTCTCATGTAAGGCAAATAAGGAACACAAGTTTGGGAAATGGGCTTTCATTCTTAATTGCCAACTGCATAAATTGTCTGACAAAATTATTTTAAAAGAGAGCTTAATTTTTATGAGAATGCAATTTCTGAAAAAAAGTAGAAAAATTGTTTCAGAGTAATATTAAATCCATGACACTTAGGTAAAAGCTTATTTTATTTTTACTAATAGAAATTAGTGAATCTGTTTTTGTCATTTCATACAAAATTAGTCTTTCTGTAACTGAGTTTTTTTTTTAATCACCCAAATTTTTTAGGAGGTTTCAGCATTATAAAGAATATACTACTACATTCCAGGAACAACATTTAATTGGTTGGCTTTTTGTTACAGTGGTTATTGCAAACCACTGTTTAATTTTTTAAATGTTCCTTCATCTTTAAACACAAACTCATGTCTGTAGGCCGGCATGAAAAAAATAGTGTAAAAGACACATATGATAATCTTTTTCTTTTTCAGAAAATGTAATTTTTTTCATTTCTATTCCTGTTTACTATTGGCCTTTTCCCTTCTTGCAGGACTTTTCTTCCATAGGATCTGTCTAGAGTACATAAACTTTATATTCTACATTCTATAAATTTTACTCATTTGGAATTTTAGCTTTCTCTTCATATATATAGTGAGTCTACAGACAAAGTTCTTGAAACCAGACAGGATCACACAGCCAAAATGTTTATAATGTCTCTGTCTGTCCTTTTTTTCGCCGTCTCCTTTACCGCACTCTTCTGTCTGTCTGACTCTCACAGGAGACGTGGATCACAACTGGTTGGACCACACGTCTTGGCATAGCAGTGAGGCATCCCCAATGTCTTTGGTGAGACATGTGGAGCCTTACTATTTAATTTTCGTTATCATTTCACTTTTCCTTTTTTTATTTACACTTTTGCATGTTTTCTTTTTTGTATTTTTTTTTTTATCCCACACCTGTAGGGGACAGTCAAAAGGGAAAAAGAAAAACTAGTGAGCAGGCAGTTTTGTCGGACTCTAACACCAGGTCTGAGAGACAAAAGAAAATGATGTACTTTGGTGGCCACTCTTTGGAAGAGGATTTGGAATGGTCTGAGCCTCAGATTAAGGACTCTGGGGTAGATACGTGTAGTAGCACAACCCTTAACGAGGAGCATAGCCATAGTGATAAGGTACTGAGATTGTGGAGCCTGCCTTTTAACCTGCTCATTTGGTCTTTGTTTGCTCTTTGTCACTCATTTAAACAGAACATAATAAAAGAACAGGGCATATCAAGGGTGAATGTAGCATTTCTTAAGGTGCAGAAAAGAAAAACAAAACCTAAACAAACAAACCAAAATATTTCTTGCTTGCTTTGCTGTTTTTGTTGTTTGACGGCATACCAAAAAATACGTAAATGAAATAAAAAATTAGGAACAAAGGAATGTTTTGTCTATGGTTGCATGAGAGAACTTTGTAACGTTAATATAAAACACAAACGTAAAGAATTTTTGGATTGGCTTATTTGATTGCTTGCATTTATTTTCCTTGGGATGAAATTAAATTATTAATAGTTTGACTCCCAGGCAAAAGGGAGATAATTGGGTCTGTTTGCACAGAAAAAGTTGTTTTTCTTTTTTCCCTTTCACTGTCATTTTGCTCTTTTGTTTTATTGTCATAGCATTTTAATGTAGTATTAATTAACAGAGTCATTGCCATCTGCTTTGTCATTTATTATTTTTGCTTTTAGTATAGTGAGACTTTTGAAGTCTTTTTACCATATAGACGTGATTGAGTGGAACTTGTCTTTTGCCTGTTAAATTTTGCATGAAGATGTGCATGCTACCTTTTGATAACTGTGAGGCTCTGATTACACAAGTCATTTTGCTTTGTTGTTTGACATGTAATTTGTTAAGGAATTGCATCATGATTTATAAAGGGCATGGTTCTGGCCTGAAAAAGAGTTAACTCCTAACATTTTCAAGTTATTTAACAATGGATACCATTGAATTATCTAGTAAAATTAATTTACTAAATAGATCAAAGACCTCAAAGAATCAATGAACCTCCAAAAAGTGAGAAATACAATTGAGCCTCACCTTTGAATTAGGCCTATTTCTCTTACGCATATTTAATTGGAAAGTTACTGGGGTTTGTGTTATTTTTATATTTTGACATAGAAACCTATTTCAGAAAGCCCCCATCATAGGTTCAAATTTCATATTTTAGTATAATTTGACCTTTTAACTTTTAATGAAAGACACTTAATAAAGTCTTTCAAAGTCTTCCAAAAGTCTTTGAAGATTAAATTCTCATTTTAAAATTCAATTACATGGAATTTCCATCTATCTCTTCTGCTTGTGAATTTTTAATCTTGAGTGTGTAGATAGAGTTTGCATATATTTTCAAGATTTCTCATATTTTGTAGCACAATATAACTGCAGTATTGTGTCAGGGCATTGTAAAAACTTGAAGTGATTAGATTGTGAAAAAATTCGAGATTATAAAATCGCGGTTATTAGCATAATATAATAAGCCCTTTTGATCAATATTCTAAAGGCAAACAGATTTGTGTAATCATAACACTTTGAAAATCTAAAGTTTGTAGAGATTGTAGAAGGAGTCATTTCTAATAAAAGAGCATTAATTTTTGTTGTTGTTGTTAATGCAATATGTCAGCACCCTGTGACGTGGCAGCCGTCTAAAGATGGAGATCGTTTAATTGGTCGCATTTTATTAAATAAGCGTCTGAAAGATGGCAGCGTACCTCGAGATTCAGGAGCAATGCTTGGCCTGAAGGTATATGATCAAATATATGGGATTTTGGCTCTCTACTACTTTACAGGTTCATCAGAAAACAAGACATAGTAACTCTTTTTACTTGTATCATCTTAAAGAGTCTCCAAATATTTGTGTTCATTAATCAAAACTTTTTCAGTTTCCAAATACTATTTAAGAAGTTGCCATCATTCTACAATGATACTTGTATATATAATTTTGGAAACTATAACTTGAGTTATATACTTGAATTCTAAATACATTGCTCAAACTTATTTTATATATACAGTTTGTCCTTTAAGTCTGTATCTGTATTTATATTATACTAAACTGATAGCTTTATTCAACTGCTAAATATGCAAATTTTGGAAATGTAATATATGTATTACATAGGTACATAGTCTTTGTATTAATATAGCAAAATGTGTGTGTGTATTTGTGTATGTGAAAGAGAATCCTGTTTGAAGTCTGTATATACAAAAATACTTGTTAGGGGAATTAATATAAATATTGATTTATATTTTACTGCAAAAATTCCAGACATTGGTAAGTATACCAATTAGAACTCTGTTTTGTGTGTGTGAGTGTGTGTGTGTAGTGTGTACCTCTATGGTGAATTAAAAACTGAAATGAGAAAAGAGGAAATGTTTTAAGGTAAACCCCTGCCATAGAAGTTGTCCTGTAAATATAGTGAGTAATATTAGAAAACTTTGGTTGTAAGCAGAACTGGGCAACTAACATTTATTGGGTGTCTGACATGTCATTGCCACTCATGTGAGTATTTTATATCTACCATCTTATTTAACACAACAGATGAGAAATAGGCTTAGAGAAATGTTGTAATTTACTGTCACAAAGATGGTGATGAAGGTGAGATTTAAGTCCAGATCTACCCAGTATAGTATTTTAGTACAATAAAGGTTAGGAAGTCTTGACTTGAATTCTAGTTACAGGAATTACCAACTAGAGCAATTAAACTCTTAGCTTCATTCCTCACCTGTGCAATGGAGATAATATCATGTACTGAGTTGTAATAAGACTAAGTAAAGCAACATACAAACATTTAGCCAGTATGGATCTGTGTAAGATTTCAATAATAATAATAGCCAGTATGAATAATTACTATTATTGAAATATATTAAGCTATGAAAGTTTTTTTTAATATTAATATAGGGATGTCAGCCTATAGTATCTACATATTTAATTTTCAGAATCAAACTGTGGAATAACTAGTTAATATTAACTGAACTACAGTTGAGTATAATTCACTGCAATTCTGGAATAAATACAAAAAATAAGATCTATCAACAATTTTTAAAATTAAAATATCTTTCACACAATTTAAAAGAGGAAAAAACCATTTTAGTCAAGAAATTACTATTATTTTCTTAACTCGCTGTAAAGTTGATATAGTAATTGAATGGTAACTGATCAGAATCAAAGTATTAGGTCTGTGAGGTACCAGTCTTACAGATACAATATTATAGCTAACATTTGTTTTCTCTTTTTCTAAGAGATTAAGATTAATAGAAACATAAAAATAGAAAAACTGGGATGCAAATGGTTTAGAATTTATATTAATTCAGATGAAATTAAGTAAATTTTGTAATTTTCTCAGGAAAAATCTCTCATGATGCACATTATCAATGTGACTAAAAGATTAGTAACTAATGAGATTTTGGCAGGTTATCATAATTATAGTAAAGGCAAAAAAAGTATATGATTATAATACTTGAAATCTGTAACTAGAAATGTTACTGTAATTATGTAGTACTATAATACATGTTTTTAGAAATGACAAAAGTCAGAAGTCTGTAATTTACAAATTGTTAAATCGTTTCTAAGGTAAATAATATTTTGAAGAAATAGTGAATTAAATTGTAAAACATTTGGAATATGTAAAATGAGTCTGTTCTTGGGATATGTACTCAGTTCCTAATAATAACACTGTATTATTTTAAAAATTATTTTTAGTATATTAAATTATAGTTTTAAAGGCTGCACATTGTCTAGTTATTTTTTACTTGAATCTTCAGCTATGTTCATTTGAACAATACGCTTGTTTTAACATTTTCCTCTTTTAAACAGGTTGTAGGAGGAAAGATGACTGAATCAGGTCGGCTCTGTGCATTTATTACCAAAGTAAAAAAAGGAAGTTTAGCTGATACTGTAGGACATCTTAGACCAGGTAAGTTTCTGTCTTTGATTATTTACATTTAAACTGTTAACTTGAGTAGTTATAAAAAAGTTATTCTCATTTAGAAGTGATTTGAACAGTAACAAAGAGTTCATTGAACTTAAATATAAATCTTTACTTATTGATAGAAAGTTGTAATTATTATTTCTTGAGTTACATTAGATAAAAAGATTTTTATATTTATGATCTTATTTCTTTGTGATAGATATTCCCATTTTATATCTAGTATTATTTTGTTTCGCATAAGTTTTCATTTTTCTTTTGAAAAAATCCTAACAACTTAAGGAACAAAACTTCATGGATAAATACATATTTCCTAAAATGTGTTACTCTTTATCTCTTTGGTAATGGATACTATTGGAGAGATCCTTGCATGCCTTGGAGAGGTTTCAATAAGATGCTAATATTAAGCTTTTTACAAGAGAGTTTAGACAAGATGCTCAGTTGCATATATATTGAGAAACCCACAATACAGTGTCATAAAACCTTCAAAGAGGCAACTGCTGGTGATTGTTTCTAGAATTAGAATTTCTATTCAGAAATCACAGAGAGAACTTTTATTTGTAAGTTTTTCCCTTTGGCCCCTGCCCTTTTGGGTAAAATATATTAATCACCCTAGTCATCATATTTTTTGCATCTGATGCTGTTCTTAAAATGCATCTCATTCCATAATGGTGATTTTATGCTATGGAGTTTGTTGCTGTTGAAGATTGTTCTTGTTTTGAGTATATTTTACAGGATTACTGTTTCTTCTAAGATTATCATTACTGATGTATATGCTATAGGTGATGAAGTGTTGGAATGGAATGGAAGGTTATTGCAAGGAGCCACATTTGAAGAAGTATATAATATCATTTTTGAATCCAAACCTGAACCACAAGTGGAGCTTGTTGTTTCAAGACCTATTGGGTGAGTTGGTTTGAGTACTTTATATATGCATAAAGTTGACTACTATTAAATAATTTGTAATGTGTGATCCAAAAAAGTCTGATTGTTTGTAAAAATAAATTATTTTCAGGGAAATGTTTTTCTCCTTCTCCACTAAAAGCACCTCACCCAAAAATCATGACTCTCTTTATTTAAATATGTTAGAATATATAGTTAAGTATAGAAAAAGAAATATTTAGTGTTTATTATTTTTATTATCTTAGCAGCTTAATAGATGGGGACATTAGTACGAGAAGGGGACTGTAGTAAAGATAAGTTTTAAAAGAAGTTTCGTGGACTATGAACCTCTCCATGGTAAAAATGACAGTCAGCGAATTTTACATATTTTTTCAAAATGGAGATTTCAATATGGGAAAGGAAGGGCATAAGAACATGCTACTTGTCGATAGAACATTTAAGGAAAAACATAATCTTTAAGGAAACAAACAAAAATAAACAAGCAACAACTACTCTTTGATGTCTGCAATTTGTTACCTGTGGATTTAATGAACAATTCCCAAAGGTTGGCAATAACTATAATTCTTTTTGTCTGTATTATGAGAATTACTCATAAATAATCACAGCAGTGTTTCCTCTATAGAAGCTTATATTCTAAGCCAATATAAAAGATATATAAAACTAAATAATATAAAACTAAACAATATAAAACTAAATAAAAGCAATAGAAAAATATAAACTAATAGCAAATTATTACATGCATGTCTGGAGTAAGAATATTTGAGGGTATAGGCTACAGGGACTCTACTTTGTTGTAGAATACTAAAGCCCAGTTTTCACTCATTTGTGTAGGAAATGATCAGACAGTATTATTTTGATCTCTTTCCGGAAATGAAAAGAGAAAATGACTTAAGTTGGTAACTTAGTTTTATTAAAATATTCCTTTCAAAGTAATGAATCTGGCACATAAAATTGTATGTTTTTCATTTTGTCTTTTCATAGTTTTTGTAATATGGTAAAACTGCAGTGTATCAGATTAGTGTATTAGTCAAATATAGTTATTAGTATGAAGGATCTTCTAATCATAATTTTGTTTAATATTTTAACTATTCTTGTATGTAACTTTTTGAATGATCTTAACCATTAATGCCTACCCTTCCTGGAAAATCTTAAAGAACAATGTACATAGTTTTGGTATAAATGAAGTTACAAGGGAATTTTGTAAGTCCTGAAAGTAATGTTTGCGTTTTTTTTTCAATGGATTTATTACATTTTAAAAATTTCAATCAAAATCTGGATTTAAAAATTTTTCTTCTGTTGATATTTTATTTGCATTTCAGATTTAGAACAACAGGTAAAAATAAGAGTATAATAGAATTATGTATCATAAAACATGTATTAGAATGGGTAATTGCATAGTGAGGCACATAGTAAATAAAGTGTATGTTTTTACAAATCTGCTATAAATGCATATGAATTATTTATTTTAAGTAGTTGGGGTTAGCTCAGAATATTTTTGTTAGCAATAAAAAGCTATGGCTTGTTCTTTTCTTATTTATATAATACCACTATCATGTACAGTTTTGTCATTTCATAACTGTCCTGTTATAATTTAGGTCAATAATGATCCAAATAGCAATTGCATTAATTGTTGAACCAATGTCTTGTTTTCTTTTCCTATCATTTCAGAGATATACCTAGAATACCTGATAGCACACATGTACAACTGGAATCTAGTAAGTTTCATTTGTTCTAGAAGAAATATTACTAATGCTGTTCATCAGGGTTCAAGAAGTATTTTATCTATTAATATGAAGTAAGAAATATAATAATCTTGTTATCAATTATATACTTAGATAAAGATGCAAATTTTAGTATTATTTCATGACATTGTAGGAAAAAGTATAAAATTCTATAGTATTTTAGATGCTTTTTTAAGCCGCACTGTGTAACTACCATGTATTTTTGGATACCTTTATTAAGACATATACAAAAATCTGTACATATTTAAAGAATACAAAGAGCTAAGTTTTGACTTACAGATGAAACTATCATCCAGTAAAAAATAATGAACATACACATTGCTCCCAAAATTACCCCCCCTCATAATTTCCCCTAATTTAATTATATATTACTTTGTAACCTAACCTTCAATAAGTGGGGGAAATGCTTGGGACAATCTAGTGAATAATTATATATATTCTAATTAATATTTTTAGAAAATGGGATAGTAGTTCTAATTTAACATCTGAGTAGTAATGGAACATAGACATATAAGTTTAATGTTAAATACATAAATACTTTTTATTACTTGTGTTTGAGTGCAATTTCAGATGTTAAATGTTTTTTTTTCAATGAACTATCTATGTTTCTTGATTGATCGAGAGTAAGGGCTACTGTAATAGAAGAGAGGAGGACACTTGCAGTTCAAACTGTTGATCAGTAAAGACCGTATTGAGAAGGAAAAGATTGGAGCAAAGATTTGGAAGAGTAGCTGTCTGGGGGAAAGCTTTGCAGGTGCAGAGACCAGACTGTGGAGTGGCTCTAAGGCAGGAAAGCCTAAGATGCGTTTAAGGAAAAGCAAGGAGGCCAGTGCAGGGGAGAAGGGTGGGAAGGAGGATACGGGAGTGGCGGAGAGCCAAACTGCATAGACTTTATAAGCTACTGAGAAGACTTTGGCCTTTACTCTGAGGGAAATCAGTAGCCGCAGACGATGGCTTTGAGGAGGGATTTATGTTTTAAAATCTGGTTACTATGTTGAAAATAGTTTAAATGGATTCAAGGGTGAAAGCAGAGGGACCAGTGAGGGAACTGTTTTAGTATTTCGTATTTTGTTTGGTGACTTAGACCATGGTGGTACCAATGAAGGTGGTAAGAAGTGGTCGGAATCTCTACACACAATAACTAAGAATACACTATTAAAAGAGATATTTGACTTTTATATTACAGTTATGAGTGTATGTTTCTTTAAAATCTTTACCAGAGTAGTGCAATCCTTTTGGAATGGCATGGTTCTATACTTTAAAATATGGTCAAATGACCTATTTCATTAGTACCTTTGGTCAGGTGCTCAATCACGTTATTGAAAATGACATCAGAATCACATAAACTACAACATAATAAATAAATACAAATATAATGGCCATTATTATGTATACTGATATCATCATCATCATTGCTCCTATTTTATTGAGTGCCTAGAACTGTGCTTGATGTTCTACCTACATTATCACATTTATTTCTTACAAAAGTCCTAGGAAGTAGGTTAAATTGTTATTCACTTACATAACATCAATCGGATACTGTGTGAGCAGGATCTAACCCTTTATCTTATTATAACTATTTAAAAATCCCCTCATCTATAATTTTAAAACTGTTCCTGTGGAGATAGATGTCATTTGTCCAATTAGATTCAGTCCTTTATTCTAAAGGTTGAAGAATAGGTTTCTCCAAGGCGCAGTTCTTAACTCTCTGTCCTTAATTCCTCAATTAATTCTCTTCTTGTGGTTTTAATTATCATATGACTCTTAAGTTTACATAATCAAAATGACCTGTCATTGTTCCATCATCCCTGGATGTTTAAAGAATATGTTCTTAAGTATCTTCCTGTTACTTGAAACTTAATATGTAGAAAACAGCTTATTTCTTACTATATAAAGCCATCATTCTTTCTACATATAAATACTGTAAAAACTATTCCTGTTCATTCTTATCTCAAGGCTTGCAGATTCACATCCACACATCCATGTTTTTAGCATTACAAGTTTAGCCCATCTTCAAGCTGCTTTATTGATTTTAGGTTTTGCTTTTTAAAGTTTCTTATTATGTTATTATAAGATATAAATTTAGTACACATAACAAAGTAACTAGGTCCTGAGTTAGAGATCTGTCTCTACTATAATTGGCTCAGAAAATGATTCACCCTTGGTCTTAAGAGATCCCCTAAGCTGTATTTCTGCTTCAAAGAAAGCTCTGAGAACATTTGGGGTACTGTGGCTAAGAAAATGATCAATGTAATGACATTTTAAGAACATTTTAAATAAATAATTTAAAAGACATATGGCATATATTATTAAATACTAATGAAGAACCCTCATTATTATTCTTTATGTATAATTACCATTTCAGGTTCTAGCTCATTTGAATCTCAGAAAATGGATCGTCCTTCTATATCTGTTACCTCTCCCATGAGTCCAGGCATGTTAAGGGATGTTCCACAGTTCTTATCTGGACAACTTTCAGTATGTAATCACTAAGTTGTTTTCTGTTTTTGGAATATTAAGTAGTATTTTTACTATGTGATGCTAAGGTTTTTTTTGTTTTTGTAAACAAAACTCTTACAGTACAATTGAGTTTTTGACCACCAACTTTCTCATTCTTAGTAATTTTAATTAATTGAAATTCAATATTAAGTATTCAGTATAGTGTTTCTTTATTAAACTTTCTGGAATTTAATGAGAGTTAGAAGTTGTGAAGATATATAAAAACCTTTTTTTACCTTAGTAATATTATTCCAAAATTCAAGGTCATGATTTTCCCTCAATACCTTAGAATGACTATAATTTGTCATAGTCTTTTAAGATAAATTAAAATGCTGTACTATACAAAAATGGCATATTTATGATGAAAGTAAATATTTATATATTCTTCCCTGCTTTTCAAATTTAAGGAAGTTTGGAGTAAATTTCATAGTAATTATTAGGGTTTGAATATTGCTCTGAATATGAGACAGAACTAAGTAAATGGGGAAATAGATAATAGATTACTGAGTACACTGGGTGATTTCATGTTAAGTGATCCATAATTTAAACATTTTATAATAAAAGTAAAAAATTCAGTTTTCATTTTATGTCCATATTAGAAGAGCTTTGCAAATATAAGCCCAGACTTCTTTAATTTCTTTAGTTATGATCCCCTTTTTAAATTGTTTAAAATATTTAAACAGTTTAATTTACCCAGTTACATTTTAGAAACATGAAACATGCAGGTTAATATTTATAATAAGGCTGATAAGTTAAGAAACTTGAAATTTTATGAATATTAAAAACTATTCAGATTCTCAAAATCCAGACATTGAATTTTGGATAAAAAAATATTATAATTAAAAGCTAAACTATTCTCGGGCTGCTGTTTTAAAAGCAATAGAGAAGCTTTTTGTTAAATCAGCTATGAAATTTCTCCTTTTGTTTTTGGGGGCAGGTGGGTGTTTGATTTTTTACTGAAGAATTTTCATTAATTTAAAGAAAATACAGAGAGTATAAGTAAAATAAACATTAAAAATTATTGAAGTAGTTATTAGAAATGTCTGTTCTGGGAGTATTTTGATCACAAAGGTGACAGTAACAGAAAAGTTATGCAAGAAAGAAGATGAGATACTATTAGGAGATTGTAAATGTCTTAACTAAAATGAATTTCTTCTCTTTATCATTTTCTTTTTCTTTCTCTTTCATAAACAGAGTGAACTTTTTCATTTGAGGACAGTGGTCTTTTTTCCATTTTCCACAATAAGTAGCATCTTTCTACTTATCCCTTACGTATATTGACAGCATAGATGTTGTCATTTATGGTTACAAATGTATATGTATTTTCTTCCACCACTTTATAAAGTGCTAATAAGTGTTAGCTACTGTTTCTTGTTTTGTTTTGTTTTGCTTTTAATGATCATGGATCTGTTTAAATACTCCATCTTTAAGTAGTGCTCAGGATGGCTGGAAGATGCCAATACACAAATAATCGGTGTGTGCCTGTAGTTGGCTTCATTTGGTAGAGAAGGCAGTGGAAGTTAGACTTCCATAATAAGTAAGTACCATTTTGTTACCATGTTTGAAATCCCAAGACCTCGTAAGAAATTGGACTAGGAGGGAAGGGTGAGGAGCATAGTGCAGTCACGTAGACAAATTTCAGTACAACTATTTTTCCTCATGGTTCAAAATGAATATAGTAGGAAGATAAAACTGTTAAATATTTGGGGGGAAATATAAACTTAAAAGCTTTACTTCTAAATGTATATATAGTGGTATAAAGTTTTACCATTTATATTTATAAATAATGTTGATTTAAAATCCATGTAATTATAATTTAAAATGTACACAAGTTTTATCATGTTCTTATGATTTGGAAAGGGTATGTTCCAGGAATATGTTTATAAATATAAAGCAAATCTGTTGTGGTAAATCTGGAAATTACAGGTAAATAAATAAAAATAAAAATCATCTATGATCCTGCCTCTAAAATATAACCATTCACATACATATAAATTTTTTAAACAAAACTGTAGTAAAGTTGTGTATGCTTTTTGAAACCTGCTTTTCATTTAGTAATACATTGTGCACTTTTTTCCTTAAACATTTTTTTCTTTAAAATTTCCTCTTAAAATGGTTGCAATAGCTATTTACTACTCCATTTTAATTTAGTTTACTTTTATGGGATATCTTGCTTGTTTATGATTTAGATTATTATAAATAATGATGTCATGGAAATCCTTGAATATAAATTTACATATTTTGTTAGGACAAAATTCTTTTGTTGGCATAACTTCCAGAGGTAAAATTACAACATGAAAGGGAAAAGAAAAATTTTATGATTCTTAAACTCTGTTGCTAAAATTTTTCTCGAAAATACTTTTACCAATTTAAACTTCAATCATCTATTTAAGAAATATATGTCATGTTCTGACCCCGGGTCAGCCATATACTAGTCATTGAGAATGCAACAGTGAATGAGATAGACATGGATGTAACCCTCATGAAACTTCATTTTAATTTTATTCTTTGCATGCAGGAAAACATAAGCAAGACACCCTTCTGGATATAGTATTTCCCTTTATATTTAACCATATTTCTGCCAACTAGAGACAATTTCAGTTCGTTGTGATGATGTAGAGGTTGAGAAAATATGTGTCCACATGTATCACCCTTTGTGAAAACCTCTAAAAAGTCACAAGACAATATTATAATTCTTGTATCCTTCTATTTTACTTTTGGGAATTTTTGATTTTGTTGAGATTTTACCTGGGCCCATGACTCACAAAATCAGAGTCCTAATGCCTGAGAAAAAAGATAATTTGTATAGTATGTGAGCTGACCCTCCTAATATATTTCTGTCAGTTCTTGGACTGATATTTTCTCAAATATAAATGTATGTATAATGCAAATTGTCACTTAAACTTTCATGCTCAAGGCTGTTGATGACTTTTAAAAATTCATGCAGTTTATTTCCTCTCCATGCTTAAATTGTGCTGCTGCTTATTATTCTAGTTCATAACTATGAAAGTGCCATTAATATACATTAACCAGTGATTAATTTACAATTATTTAACATACAATTAATGTAAATCAATAGTTATACCAATACATTATTAATATATTAGTGATACATTAATTAGTACCATTAATATGCATTAAATTAATATACACTAAGTGAGAAGATTTGTATAAGCTCAAGTTAATGACACTCAGACTATATGTTGGCCTTTTCAGAGTCAGCCCTCCCTTTATTTTGATTCTTTTTAAAATTTGCTCACTTCTACAATCTAATAGTTTCCTTCTTCAGATGATTACTCTTATAACTCTCTCAATATTTTTAGACTGATTAGTAGTCTTTGGTCAGTTTTTTCATAGAATGTTAAGGAAAAGTATAGACTTCAACTTTCTTATAAGTGAGAAATGGCTCAGAATTCTTTCTTTCAGAACATACTGATTCTTCTTGACAATCATACTTTATTTTACATCAGGGCCTATGGTTAATTTATGGTTGCAATGTTTCCTAAGTTACTTTGGTTTAATATTTTTCTGGCTCCATTTTTAATGATGAGTTTGTAAATATTGTGCATATCCATTTTATATGCCCATATAAAGGGATAAGTAACTGAAGAATAGGTATGTATCTTCTATATATCCTTAGAAACTCTGTAGTTTTTTTTAAACTTTATGTAAATGAAATTTTTGAATTTTTTATCTTTTATACCTCATCACAACCTTGTTACTCCAGAAGCATTGCATAAAAGGAATGTCTTAAAGATAGTAGTGAAGTATAGAGTAGGAAGTGACATTAAAAATGCAAAATAAATTTCAGTGTACAAATGCAAATCTTCATTTGTATGGAGCTGAGTCCTTATAGATTTTATCAGATATTTCATGCTAAAATACATGAATTAATGAAATGTGCAAATTACAATGAAAAACATCATACTTCACCATTCCTATATACAATTTCCAGAATTCATAGAGACAGAAAGCAGTTTAATAGCTGCCAGGAGTTGGGGCAATAAGGGAATGGGGGAGTGATTATTAAGAATACCTTTGTAGGGTATTCTTCTAGGGTGATCTCAGGGTGATAAGTTCTGAAGCGAGGGAAGTGGTGTGCACAGCATTGTGAGTGTAGTACATGCCACTGAATTGTACACTTTAAAATGGTTTGTATATTACTTGAATTTCACCTCCATTAAAAAATAAAGAAGTATGTTTTTATAGCAAGTTTAATGTATAAATTTATAGGTGAAGATTAGGTTTAACTTGCCATGGATTTTAGACAACTCATTTCAGAAATCTGAATTGCCTGTTTGAGATCATTATAGAAGATAGAAACTTTTTGCAATAAAGGATTAATTTATTTCAAAGTACTACTCCTTTTAAACTAAGTCTTTAGTTTATGAAGTAATATCTACTTGTAAAAATCTTCCATTACCTTGATATTTTGGGTTTAAAATAAGTGGAACAGGTGAGAGGGCAAAGGAAGTAAATCTATTTGTAGAGTACCTGGTTAGTCCCTTCAGCATGCCTAGGTAATCCTTTCCCCATTTGCTAGAGAATTATCCACCTAGGGTTATGCAGACAGGTAACAGTAACACACTCCCTATTTAAACACTTCCTCCTTTGGAAATTCTCCACACAAAAAGTAAGGCAGCTTAGATCTGAGACTTTGGTTTTTGGAGAGAGAGAAAGATAACACATATGATTGAATGATACTCTGCTTATAAGGTCTGCTTTCCTTTGGGTTTTAGATTGACTGTCTTGAACAGTGTCTGTCTGATGATAGTTGAATTGGGCCACTGTTCTCCTAGGACCTATTTTCTATTTCCTTATAGCAGTGGAAAAGTCTGAATCCTTTAACTATTTATAACTTTGAATTAGACAATACAAACATCATGAGAAATATGAGGAATAGGATGGAATCTTGGTGAAAGAAGCAGAATTAAATGCCTTGAAATTTTTTCTCAAACCCAGAGATATGCTTCTAATTTTGCTCCTAATTTAACTGTTGGTATGTCTTTAAAAAGGCACAAAATTCTAATTATTGTGGTGTCTTTTGGAAACTGTTTCAAAATCAAAACAAAATAAGTCAGAAAAGAAAGGAAATTCGGTTTTATTATAAGAATTTGAAATAGAATGATTCAGTCAGGACTGGGCTTTATTTTCTATCTTTATGCTATCTTTTGGTTTGCATTTAGGCAAGTGCATCTAGCCTTTTGTTATGTTACTGTTCTCTCATCCACAAACTGGAGATCATAGCAACTACCTTCTAATGTTGTTGGAGACAATGCACTTGAAATAAACTCTCGGTAAAGGCTTGAAGAAACAAACAACTGTATAAATAAAAAGACTTGAGATACCGTCATTAATAAGTGTAGTTAGCAATAGACAGTGTTATCTCAAGCGGTATATGATAAGTACCTGAAAATGGTGTTTAAATACTGGAACCTGGTATAGATTCTTAAGGTTTGAAATAGCTAATTCAGTGCATTCCAGCTCACTTATTTTTCTGTGTTTATCCTTTCAAGAAATGCTAAAGCTGACTTGGCTAATGTTATTTAGACTTTTGTTAGTAATGTCATTTTGGAGAAGTTATATAATTACTTCTACAAATGACTTTTCATTAATAATTCTGTAATGCATTTTCATCTAACTTCTTCTTGGACTATGCCTTTTTCTGTGCAGTGTGTTTAAGAGTGAAACCTGACATTTCTTTGCTTCCAGGTTTTGTTTACACTCATTCTTTCAGAATATTTGAGCCCAAATATGTTATTTTACATTCAGCCTTAATCTGTTATGTTGGTTACATTTAAAAATCAGATTTATAAATTCTAAGTTTTTATATAGTTTTATGTATTTTAGCATTTTGGAAAAATTATTTTATTCATTGCATTGAAGTACTTAATTTGGATATATATTGTTATGGAAAAGTTATATTTAAGGGATAGTTGTATGTGTTTTTTACTTTGGTCTTTTAGTTCCAGCGTGTTGTCCTTTTTGGTTTTGTTTTATTGCTTTTTTTCTTTAATTTTGCTTACCAGAGCCAAAGCCTTAGTAGAAGAACAACGCCTTTTGTTCCTAGGGTTCAGGTAAAGGCCTTGTCTGCCTGATAGAAACTAAAGTTGTGTTTTAACCCATATTTGTATGTTTCTGGAAAATGCATAGTAGGAAAAGTTTTTTTGGTATGTTGCTTTAAACCATATTATTGACTTTCCAAGCATTTTATGAGCCAGCTTGTAAAATTCTGCATGGGGATTCAACTACAATAAAAATTTAAAGAGACAATCTTTGTTAGTGATTTTATATGGTGAACTGAATACTAAAATTCCGTAGGTTTCATAGAGGCATTTCATGTAGATTCCATTTATATATGTAACATTGACAAAGAGCTAATTTTATACTGTTGATATTTTCCTTTATTACACTAAGGCTGCTGTCTCTTTAAATCATTCATTACGTCACTTAGCGTCCACATTCTCTTGCATTTTCCAAGCAATAACTCCTCGAGGAGATTGGCAAATAAATTTGTACCTTTTCTAAAATACAAATTTTATGTATATTATATATAAGATTCAACTTATGGAAATTTTATTACCTTGAGAGAACAAAATCACAATCCAATAAAATGTTTTGGGTTTATTTTGTTTACATTTTGTAATTATAATTCCACTTAATTTTACTGTCATACTTGAGTACAAGTTGTTTGCCTCTTTTCATTAAGAAATTCTTCTATGGTAAAGTAATAATATAGTTTTTTCAAAGTAGTATTATGCTTTCCTTGCTTTGCTGCATGTTTTTTGTTATTATTATTGGTTTTGAATAACACTACTTTTGGCTTAAATTTTAAAAATTAAAGTTCTAGTTAATATTATATAGTGTAAAATATTTACGTGTGCTACCTAGATTCTACTTAGGAAACTTAAAAGTGATCACATGGTAAAGCTGTAATGATAATTATATTAAAACAATTAAAGTAATGCCAAGATTTTTATTAACAAAATTGAAATAAAATAAGTATGTCTTATCTAGAATTGTGGAAATACACATGTTATATTTTAGGGAGTCAACAGATATTTTTTAACCATCCATTTAAAAAGCACAGATAGAAATTTGGGAATGTGATAAAATAATATAGCTAATAAAATAATTCTGTTTTGATATTGTGAATTGGATATCTATTAAAAACTTCAATGCAAGTCCTATATTATAAAATGAACATGAGGGCTATTGATCGATGCCAAATTTCAGACAGTTTATTAAAAAGTATAATATTGATAAAAAATCAGTAAAATTAAATTTACCTGTTTCATATTTATATTAAACATTTATATTTTTGTAAGGTATAACTTAATAAATTGTGAAGTATTGTGAAAATATGAAAGCCATGTGCCTAAAATCTGTATGAGAAATGAGTATTATTAATAAGTAATGTTTTTGGTTTTCCATGGCATTAGAGAATCTAAGAAGAATACTCCTTTTCAAGCACTTGATATACATATCTTAAAAGTTTTGCTGAAATGATTTTCAAGGAGCAAAAATATTACCTCTGAAGATGGCAACAAGTGCTTAGTCTTAATCCCTCAATAAACAACTCACAAAAATCATTAATTTGCTCCAATACTGATAGAGCTTAGTCTAATGATAATAATTGTTGATTCTCTCTTCTTAAATGTAGTTTATTGGAAAAAAATTTTCTTACTCTTTCAGAATCTTTATGTTTTTGTAGTGCCCAGTATTCATGTCATGATCCTCAGAGAAGGATTGTTAATATCATGGAAAAATAAGGCCTTATGCTTTTTTAGTGCTATAGAAAATAGAGAATATCAGAAATTAATCTGCTTTTGGTTACACATTTTAGAAGAACAATGTTATTTGACATCTCTGTGTCATTTCATATATGAGACACCCTTGTATTTCTTACTTTTTGTTTTCGCCTCATGTCTTTTGCCAGAAGAATAGTTTAGCTTCTTTTTTCCACTTATCTTCATCTGTATCTATGTTCTAGTATTGTCACACATTCAATATTTGAGGTTTTTCCATTCAAATGTTAGAGGCTTTTTTTTCAAGTTTTGATCCCGTTTCTCAAACTTCAGTGCCCATGAGAATCACTAGGAGAATTTATTAAAATGCAAATTCACAGCCCAGTCTGACTCATCAGGTGAGAGTTGGGCCACAGAAATTTGTAACTTTTTAACAAATAAGCCAGATAACACTGATGCAGAAAGTTTGTGAACCACAGTACTTGTCTAGAGACTACTTAGCAGCTCTATTAGGAAAACTTTATGTTACACAACAGGAAGATAATACCTGCTTGAAATATAAGGTTTTAACATAACATGAGGTGTAGTAATTATAATTTAAAAAATTTAGATACTTATTACTGTTATTCTTACAAGAGGGCTAATTCCATTTGACAAAAAAGAAAAATGCATAATTTTATATATTCTTCTGGGTCCTCAGTCTTTCTCTTCTGACTCAAGTCTTAGCCTCTCATTCTCTTAAGATATGAAGTGAGACTCAACAAAGACAAGTTAGAATTGGAACTGAGCTACCAATATATCATATGTAGATGCATATTTGTTTATATGATTTATTTATATATCCCAGAGCATGGCCCAGACTTGACCATATCTGTTTTGGAGAAGAGAGGAAAAGAAGGACTGACGTGAAATGTATATTAAATTGTTCTAAACTGCTGCAAACACTGTACATCCAATTTTAAAGGAAAAAAATTAACCCATTAAAAATAATATAACCATAAATTATGTATAAACCACAAATGTATATACTATATAAATACAGTTTTATTCCCAAATTTCAAATTTCTGGTTCATTTTAATTTCAAGATAGTGATTAGCGATGTGCTGAGTTCGGAACCAAAACTGGTTCAGAGCCATAGTTATCACAGATCTTGACATGGTAGAATCAGCTAAGTAGGTGTGGGAGTGTTAGATATGTGTGTGGGAGGTGACAGTTGTTAAATGAAATGAATTTAGCAGCTGGATGTGAAGTTCCCATCCCTAATTAAGGCATAATAAAATTATTCACATTTTCTTATCTGAAATTATAAAATATAGCCCATTATTCTTACAGATGCAATACATTTGCTTCACAAACAAAAATGAGACATTGTGTAAGAAAAATTTAAAAAGATGAATTTACTACAGTTTTAAATACAAATTTAAGGAGTCTGTTGACCAAAGTTACTAGTAATTTCCCCCTGCATAAAATCCTTAAAATGTCTTTTGCTATGGAATAATATAAACATTTGCTTAAATGTTCTCTATGAATGCCGTATAAATGAGTTATCTATTCAGTTCATTTTGAGTACTCATTCTGAAGTCACTGTAGTAGGGGAACTAAAATGAACTACAGTGATTCTTACATAAACATCAACACAGAGCAATCATTATATATAAAGTCCTTAGTTATGGTAGTGTAATTATTTATGTGCATGTTAATAAACAATGAAATTAGAATAACAGAAAGCCCAAGTTATTTATGAATCAACCCAAAATGTCTGAATTAATTCCTCTATTCATTGAAGTTATTATAGCATATCCTTTTATTTTAATTAACCACAATTTACTAAGTGAAATTTATGTTCTTTGCTAATACTAGTGTAAGAGAATGGGGCAAAGATTGGGAATGTAAACATTATGTTGTGGTAGTAAATGTTTGAGCTGATAGATGAATATTTTTGCTTTTCAGATAAAACTATGGTTTGACAAGGTGGGTCACCAATTAATAGTAACAATTTTGGGAGCTAAGGATCTCCCTTCCAGGGAAGATGGAAGACCAAGGAATCCTTATGTTAAAATTTACTTTCTTCCAGACAGAAGGTAGGAATATGAAATGAAATAAATGTTCTTGAAAATAAATGAGAAATGTTAATAGCAGTGGGTATTTCGATTCTGCATCACTTATATTTATATATCATACCAGTCAGATACTACTGAAGTTTAACATAAGCAGAATGATTCTTAGGAATCAAAATAGTGACAGTAAGTAAATACTTTGAAATTGTTTTAAAACTTACATCAAACATAGTATATTTTATTGAATGTTTATTTTAGGTTATGTGGGTTATTTCTTAAATAATGTATGTTTTCATTTATCAAAATCACTAAATATTATGCTTCATTAAGTAAAATGCATTTTTAACACAAACTACAAAGGCAAAAAGCTGGAAATGTTACTAAAGGTGTTGCCGGGCAGCTATGTCTGGGAAGGTCTCTTGCTGCAAACTCTTGACCTGGACATTGGGGGAGGGTTCTTGACTCTGAATGAGAAAGAATTCTTGAGTAGGTCCAATGAGTAGGTAAGGAAGACCTTTATTAAAGGAAGAGTAGCAAGGAATAGCAGCTGCTTTACAGGCAGCAGAGAGAAAGGAAGGGCAGAGAGAGGAAAGGGAAGCTCATTGAACTCCTGCTTGGCATAGGGCAAATACCTTGCCACCTCCTAAATCCAGTGTCCACTTAGATCTGCAAGGCATAGGAACTAAGCTCTTACCACCCTAGGATTTGGGGGAGGTTCAGAGCACTGGATGGAGTGAGAATATGTTCTGAGAACTTACCAAAGGCAAAGAAAGGAGATTTTCAGGCAGGCTACTAAAAAGCATGATATACACCTGCAGTCCTGTCCAGGTCACCCAGGCAATGGGGACTTGCAAGCCCAAACCAGAGCTGTCAGTAGACCCTCCCTACTTATCTGAAGTAGGACAGAGAGAGTGAAGACTTGTGCTTAAGTCTGAAAACTAGAATGAAATAGCAAAGTGACAAAGACACTTAAACCATTGGAAGAGTGCAGAGACAAAACACAGTAAGTTGAACAATGAGAAGGCTTTATTTAAAAGGTACACACTTGAAGAAAGGGGAGTGCAGGCAACCTCAGAGAGGAGGCACCCTGAAGGGCTTAGGATTCTGTCTTTTAAGGCTTTCAAGAATGAGGCAAAGGGCAGGGTGGAGGAGATTGTTCGGCGTAGGCTTGACTGTGGTATCATGATTTCTCTCAGCACCTAGAGACATTATGCCACTATCCATAGTCAGTCCTCTGGATGATTCTGTAAAATAAACTTAACACATGAAATTTACTGATCCTGTTGTTCTCCAAGATAGTGGTTTCCCTCAAACACTGGGGACATAGCAGTTAAGACTTCTTGTCCTGCCCTAAGATAGGGTGGGTTATTGTCTGATTACCAAATAATATGTTGGGAATCTTACCTCCTAAATCCCTGGTTTTTAAAATGGAATCTCAGCCTTCAGATGGAGACCCTCCTGTTCTTACTATACTGTCTATATCTTGGAATTTTTCATCATAGTCAGGAGAAGCATCATGATGCTTATCCCATGTCCCTGCCCATGTCCTTGGGGACTCATCTATTCCTCTCCAGTTCTACCTCTCACTTAGATATTATTGCTGTATATTCTGAAAATAAATGAGTGTACTTTATACTTCATCACCCCATATCATCAAATAAAGTTTACCACTGGCCAAGCAGTATATCAGCTGCTTCAAGTAGTATTTGCTTTATGTCCATGCTAATCAATATAAATGATATCACTGTACTTGATTTAAATAGAGGAATTAAGATTGGAAAAATAGTTTATCAAACACTATCTATTCACTCAATTTCAGGCACAGAAAAAATAAAAGATTATTCAATAGGCACCATGAAAAAAGAAAGAGTTGATGGCATTAATTACCCTCTCCCCTACTACTCTGCGAAAAGTCTGGTCATTTTTCTGTGGTTGGAAGTGGCTGGGCATGTTGTCTTAAACATGTTTGTCCAGTTTTGCACCCTCATTTACTTAGTTCAAGTTGAAAGTCATCTGGGTTGAGTTGAGTGCCAAGATATCATTAGAAGAAAAATCAGAATAAAGAAAAGGACAGAAGACAAAGAAGTAGACAATTAACAAGGGCCTTACATTTTGTTTGATACATATTTGCAGAGAAAATTCCTCAGAAAATATGTCCAGGTGCCTTAACAGCTAAAGTTCTTAGAAATGTTTGCTATATAATTTTATCTTACAAAATTTGCTTGAAGAAAGTTGGTCTCTAACAACTTAGGCTGTCGTTTGGTGAAGGATACACCTTGAACTGCAGGAAAGGAAGAGAATATCCATATAAAGCTGTTAAATCTAACTTAAACTTCAGTTGATAACAGATGTCTCAGAAATACTCCATTTCCATCTATGCTTTTATGCACACTCATAGCTTAAATATTCTGCTTATTTAAACCTTTGAAGAAAAATGTTTGCCTTTATAATATGATACAAGTCTCAAATCATAGAATTTATTTCTTGATTATTTTTGTTTAGTTTTATTTTACATATCCCTGCACTCCACTTTCTGAGCAGATAGATCTTAAATGAAAGAGAATGTCCCTTTAACCACTCCTGCATATTCCAGATGTAATGTTTTTAATCTTTTTCATGACACCAATATAAAGAATATTTAGGCAAGTTTGTAGATTACTTTATTGATAAAGTTGGGTTAGGTTTTCTTTAACAGAGAGAAAATAATTCTTTGGTTAACTCAGAATTATACATTATCATTGCAACAAAATTTTTTTTCTTTTGCTGTTGACACAAGTTTTTACACATGAATAAAGGACTTTTAATATTTTTGGTATGAATTACTTTATTTTTCTTGACAATGTTTTTGAGAGACAAACTACTTATTAACTGAATGTAAGAACAACAGATGCCTTTTTATTGATAAGTACCCTTAGCCAAGTGAGGGTACATAGAGATTTAGTCTAGTATGTCACTTAAGCCATTCAAAACATTTTCTAAATAATGTACTGTGTATCCTAAAAAATAGCTGTGTGTGCTTTACAATCTTTTTTTATATCTCGAGGTAAAGTTGGTTACCATTCAAGATATATTTCTTTCTTTCATTTTGAGTGAAAACATGGTATTTGCATACTATTACTAAGTTAAGTTAAATGGAAACCAAAAGTGTTACGGGTTGAGTTTGTTATCCTCTGTTTTGTCCCCAGTGTAATAAAGAATTGAAAGGCAGAGACACAATAGCGAAGGAGAGTGAAAGTTTCATTTGAATATACTCCAAGGGAGTAGCGGGCCAGAGTCAAGGTAGACAAAGGCATGGAACTTTTAGAGGAGGGTCTATTTATCATGACCTAGCTGGGAGGCACTTCTTTGATTGACAGGGTGAGGTCATTTAGTTGACAGTTCTAGTTATATAGCCATTCCTCTTGGTGCATATGTCTTTTACCTAAATGCACACAGAAAAGCCCACGGGTGGTGGAGGGAGCAAAACCGTAATTTTATTTTAATGAATTTATGAAGAGGTGTGGTTTGAGGGATTCTTAGTTTTGTTCAGTTGTGCCTGCATTGAGACCTGAACTCAATAGACAGGAAGTTATCTCCCTGTAAAGCCTTTGTTGTTTTCACATAGGACTCTTTACCTGGACAGAGTTTGGGCAGTTTTTACCTTGAACCTTATCTTCTCCTTCCCTGGCTGCTCATGTCTACCTTTCTACCTAACAAAAGTACTGGTAACATGAAAATAAATAGAAAAAGCTTTACATTAGATTTTGGTTTTTCTAGAGAAGTTAACTACATTCTCAAGAATTTAATGATGCTGTTAGTGATCACTTCCAATAGGCTCTCCAGAAAGCTTAAGGTTTCCTTCCTAGATGATTTGCTTCCTGTTCAGCCATTGATCCTCTCTAATAAGTTAGAGTAGTGATCTCTATAAGGAATGGGTGTGCCCAGGAGTTGAGTCATCTGTCAGAGTTCATGAACAATTTGAATTAAAAAATTTTTTTAATTTTAATTTTTGTTTAATTTACTAGTGGGCACAACATGTTAGGAAAACAGTATAGTAATACATGTATATCATTCATAAATATATGTGCATATAATAGAATGCATTGTCAAAAACTTACTGGATAGAGATAGGCAATGTAAAGAAGTGTGGAAGACTCTTGAGCTGGAAGTCCCATCTTTAAGGGATGGGCAGCTTTCATTTCAAGCCTGCATTACAGTGGCTACCTCACACAGAAATAATTTTACAGTGTTTTTAAAGACCTGATGACTGTCAGATTGGCAAGTGTGTGTTTTTTGTATATAAGAAAATAACTTGATAAGATGTAATTACAATTGGTCATTAGCTAAACTATGTGGATGTGAAGTTGTGAACGTAACAATTTAGGAGATATTTGGTATCAGTTTTCAGTACTTTGAGTGAGTAGTATATGTAATGATACTGGTTAACTTCTATTTTTATTTCTAATAGGGCAATATATTAAAAGAATTTTAGTGTTAAGATTCTTCAATTTTTAATTAAGTTTTTAATTCAGTTTTTAATGATCTGTCATGGATAGATCTCAAATTTATTGAAGTATTGATTGCTCTTATAATGTGATATATATCTTACAAATTTTTATAGTAATTTTAAGGATCATGGTATTTTTAACATGGTAAATTTGTGATAAGACTTTACTCCAAGAAATTTTAAACTTATAATTTTTAGGGCAAAACTTAAAGGTTTATAGAAATTCCCATACTTTTATTTTTATCATAGTGATAAAAACAAGAGAAGAACTAAAACAGTGAAGAAAACACTGGAACCTAAATGGAACCAAACATTCATTTATTCTCCTGTCCACCGAAGAGAATTTCGGGAACGAATGCTAGAGATTACCCTTTGGGATCAAGCTCGAGTTCGAGAGGAAGAAAGTGAATTCTTAGGAGAGGTATCTAGAATTTTTAAATTTTGTTATCATAAATCTACAATTACATGAAGAACATTATGTTTACTACGCTCCCCTGTTCACCAAGCCCCCCACCCCCACCCCATTATAGTCACTGTCCATCAGTGTGGTAAGATGCTATAGAATCACTACTTGTCTTCACTGTGTTGCACAGCCCTCTCCGTGCCCCCCCACATGCTAATTATACATGCTAAACGTAATACCCCCTTTCTTTTTCCCTGACCTTATCCCTCCCTTCCCACCCAACCTCCCCAGTCCCTTTCCCTTTGGTAACTGTTAGTCCATTCTTGGGTTCTGTGACTCTGCTGCTGTTTAGTTCCTTCAGTTTTTCTTTATTCTCACTCCACATATGAGTGAAATCATTTGATACTTGTCTTTCTCCGCCTGGCTTATTTCACTGAGCATAATACCCTCTAGCTCCATTCATGTTGTTGCAAATGGTAGGATTTGCTATCTTCTTATGACTGAATAATATTCCATTGTGTATATGTACCACATCTTCTTTATCCATTCACCTACTGATGGACATTTAGGTTGCTTCCATTTCTTGGCTACTGTAAATAGTGCCACGATAAACATAGGGGTGCATCTGTCTTTTTCAAACTGGGCTGCTGCATTCTTACGGTAAATTCCTGGAAGTGGAATTCCAGAGTCAAAGGGTATTTCTATTTTGAGCTTTTTGAGGAACCTCCACACTGCTTTCCTTAATGGCTGAACTAATTTACATTCCCACCAGCAGTGTAGGAGGGTTCCC